AATAAAAAACAAATATCTTAATCCTATGCAAATAGATGTCCCTGATCTGATCCTGATTTCCATGATTTTTACAAGGATCACATTGAAAGATTTTTCAAATCAGGCAGTGTATGATTTTTCAAAGTGATCCCTAATTGGATAATTTTATTTTTCTCTTATAATATAAATCGCAAGCATATAGATAGAGTTGTGGACAGTGAGAAGGAAGTCATTTTTTTCGAATGATGATCGTCGACAATATGTGTTTTTTGTTCTTTCTTTAATCGAGTATGTGTTTTTCGTTTTGGAGGAAGTGATTTTCATTTCCAAAATTATCTGGTGGTCGATATAGAGAAAGGGGAGGAGAAAGAAAGAGTGCGGGAGGAAGTGAGAAGAAAGAAAGAAGAAAAAATATTTATTTTATTCCACATATATCCACCGTTGGATGAGATTGTAATCTAACGGTTTTGAAAGGGGTAGATAAAGGTAGGCAGAATAGGAGTAGGTAAAATAATTTATCCCGTTGATTTTTATAATAAATAAGTATAAAGTCGTTTGTTTTCTTTTAAGATTTACAATTTTTTATTACCTCAATATTTTTGTAGTAATTAAATTGTAAAAATAATATATTTAAATTTTATTGAGAAACAGCATCATAAAAACTTTACCTATCTTTTGTCCTATTGAAAAGAACCATTAATTGTTCACCAAAAAAAGAAAGAAAAAAAAGAACCACTAATTAATAGCTAGACACAGCTGAAATCTAAACGTACAGAAGAAAATAAATTATTTACAGATTCCTTACAAAGCGAAGGAAGAAAAAGCTGCATTAATCAATTAACTTCCATCCTCACAGACACGAGACATCTAACTCCAATTAATTAGCGACATAGACAGAGATACCAAAGAGAGCAAGCGAGAATTTGAAGGCCTAGCTAACTGAAGTTAAAACTACGAGTTAATTCTCCACTCTTTTGTTTCTTATGGTCAACCAAGTTACTTCTCTACTCACATTGCTTCATTTGACAATGCATGCAACTGCATAGGCCCATGATTTGAGATGCTCTTTCATTGCCACATCATCATCGGATTGAAGCATCTTTGTAGTTTGTCGCTGAATCACAGGCATACGCATATGATATTCATATGATTTATGAAACCTCAAAAACCCATTAGCTTCCTTAACATCAAACCCTCCAAGAATCACTCTCTCTGCTTCGAACGCAGTGGAAATGTTACCACATTTGACACACCTTGGGATCATATTATCAACATTCTCAGACTCATTTTGCTGATTCAGAAGGAAAGGGGCATTGGGTTTCTGTGAATCTCTCTTGGGAGGCTCTTTGGCATGGATTGAAGGTATAGATTGATCAGTCTCGGAAGCTACTACTTGCTCATCTCTGCAAGTCAAGATGTTGGTGTAGAACCACAGAAAATCAAAGCTTTGTGAAACCTGTGAACCATCCATGACGCTGTCCCTGCACGTGATTTGAGTTAGCTTATTATATTTATATATAAAACAACAAACGAGGAGGCTTTGAAAAAATAAATGCAGAAACTTTTTCATCATTTCACTCTAGTTCAAATTTGGACCAATGTTGAAAATCCACACAAACACAACACACAAGATCGCTGATAAGAAAATAGAATAAGGGAAGAGAAAAAATTACACAATAATTTATCCTGATTTTTTTAGGGAGCGAGGATATTGTAACTATAAAAAATTATTACTATTAACTTACTAGTGATCACGTCATCATTAGATCAAAGAGAGAATGTTAAAAAAATTTTGAAGAGAGAGAAAATATTAATCTAATGGTGATTAGATAAATAATGAAAATTTTTAGTAGTGAGAATATTTCTCCTCTCCTTTAAGTTGCTTTACTATATTCAATTTATTTATACTCTTTATAAATGAGAATATAAATAAAATTTAAAAAATCATATCAGTAATTATTTATGGACTTAAGTTTAAATTATTAAAAAAGAGATAAATATAATGACTCAATAATAAGTCATCAATAATTGGCTTTTTGCCGAACCCATCAATATAAATTTTTATATAAATACAAAATATAAGTCATTTCCAACAACATAGACACAGTAGAAAATAGAAAGTGGTGCCAATAACGAAAGGGCGAAATTCCCGTTGTGATTTATCACTGGACCAATCTACCCTATGTTTGTGGTTATATTTGTGTAATAAAGAGAGACAATTTGGTCTTTCTAGGAAACCAGCGGCGGTGGTAGACACTAGACAGTGGGCACGGGGCGTGATTGTAGCACATCTCACCCATGCATTAATGTAGTTTATATATATATATATATATATATATAAGGGTTCATTTAATCTTATGTTGCATAAGAAATCTTATCTCATGTTGTAAACACATATGTGATGCGGCCCACCATATAACAAAAAAGAAAAATAAGAAAAATGAGTGTCACGATTTTCGATGGATTTATAGGAGATAAATTACTCTTATGTTACAATAGAGTAGTTTTTTTCGTAAATTAATGTAGGTTCTCTTTTGCATTACATGAAAATTGAACACACACCGTTACACTACAAACACCTAACACATACACCCCACATCACTAGGCTAATCCCAGTGGATTAATGTAGGTTCTCTTATCACAATTAAAAATTTCCTAAAACGAGCTGACCAAAACCAGAGTCATCTTTGTTGTTTCCCTTTACAGTTTTAAGTTTAATGAGCTACCATAAATTTTTAAGGGTCATTATAGATCTGTTTGGATGAGCTTTTAAAAAAAATAAATTTTTATGCATTATTTTTTTTAAAATAACTTTTTTTATAAGATAAAGTTATTTTACGTTTGGATGAATGATCTGAAAATTACTTTTACATAAAAAAATTGTTTGGATGTTAAAATAAAAAAAATCATTTTTTATATATAAAATTACAATAAAAGAGAGATAAAATAGCATGATCTTAGGATAAGAAGAGATAAATTAGGAATGATAGGATAAGGTTAAAATTATGATTTAAAAATTTATATTATCTTTTTGTCCAAAAAAAATTATATTATCTTTTAATTTCTGCTTTTTTCAAAAGCAATCAACTACTGACTATAAAAAAAAAGTAACATTTTAACTTTTATTTTAAATTTTGCTTTTTTAAAAAGTTGTTATCCAAACATCTAAAAATTCTCAAAAGGACTTTTATTTATAAAAAAAACAACTTTTTTAGGAATTAAAGCTCATCCAAACGAGCACTATATCTCTTATGTTGTTAGAGATAATTCTTATTTTATACTGGGATAAATAAAGTGGAGCCATCATTTTTTTTAAAAGAAAAAAGAATGACTTATCTTTTGATGTGATGAGAGCATGACAGTACTATCTTACATGAAATGAGAAAATAATTTATCATTTTTAATTCATATACACTTTTTTATGTTTAATTTATTGAGTTACGATCAATCCGAGATATACTTTATAAGTTTTCATTTTATCTTTTAACATAATACAACAAACTTTTCCACACTCACAATATTTTGTGGGGCCCACATTTTTTAAAACAAAAAAATAAATAAAAAATTAAAGCACGCAAAACGAATCTCTATAACATTACATAATCATTTTTCCTATAAGATAACTCTTATAAAACCCATACTCTATTTGGTTTTGGTTTACTCAGGTTAGTACATTTTGAATATGACAATTTCTATCAAGTTGTATATCTAATCATGATTCCAGCAATAAGTATAACGATATCATTTCCTGCATTGATGAAACTCACATACCATGCCAATATTGTTATTCTTACTCACTAAAGGGAGACACCCGTATATTGTACTTATACATATTAAGTCAAGATTTTTCTCTTGGTTAAAGCTCATAATAAAAGTTCGGGTTTGACACTGGCCTTTCATAAATTGGAATATTAACCAAAATGTCATTATTTATCAACTTTTTTACCTAAATGTCATGCGAACAGTGTTATTTCTCAATCTGCCACGGGAGCAAGTTCCCTACCGATGTAGCGAACTCGATTTGCTGACGTGTCACGTTTTTAGTGGACACCAAAGTTCGCTACCCAAGGTAGGGAACTTCATATATATATTTTTTTACTTGGTACTTGTTAACCACTAGAAATGTGACACGTCAGTAAACCGAGTTCGCTACCCGCTGTAGCGAACTTGCCCCGTGGCAGATTGAAAAATAACACTATTCGCATGATATTTAGGTAAAAAAATTGGTGAAAAGTGACATTTTAGTCAGTGTTTCTCATAAATTTGTAGAAAATTTCTATCCTGAATTACCAATTACCGTTAGCTGTGCTAGTTTGTCATATGACAAGTTAACCGTAATCATAATAACAAAATATTCAATTTCATACAACATTAACAGCTCTAGATTAACCCACATGATACAGTTAATGAATGTTTGTATTAGGACGGCATGTTTTTACATTAGTGTAAGAATAAAAAATCTTACTGACAAAATTAGGTACAGTTGGTAGGTAGATAGTTAGGTCCTTTAAACATGCTGACAGGAATTCAATCTCTGGCCGTATTTATAAAAAAAGCTTTGTTGGGAGAGGCTGTACCTATGATTTTGTGATCTTTTTTTTTTTTTGGACATTACAGGAAATCAAACCGCACACCTAATACACCCTAAACACACCCAACACCACTAGGCTATCCCTAGTGGTGCTGATTTTTTGATCTCTTCGTCTCGGGTAAATTAATCCTTAGCTTTCGGCCGAATGATATCCTTGGAACAATTTCCAAAAAAATAAAAAATCTTACACCAAAATTTTCATCATTAATTTGCTTATAACAACTCAAATATTTAATACATAGAACCAATCTAAAATGATCGTTACCCAATTGCCTTCTATTTGCTTATGAGCTTTTTATCACTTTATATGAAATATTCCACTGGCCCAAATATTTGGTCTAGGGCCCATCAACGGTTAACCCATCTACCTCATCAACCTTCCTTTCCTTCAATGCCACACTAACACACCGAAGTACTGCTACCTCTTCTTCTTTTTTTGTTGCTTTCTGCACTGTAAATGGCACTTCAATGACTCTCTCTCTGGGGCACAGAAGCAGAACCTCCTCCAAGATTCGATTTTTAACGTTGTTACTGTGTGGGCACCCAAATTTGCAACTGCCACATGGCTCCTGCTGTGTCATCTCCACCACCCAGCTTCGCTCTATCCATCAGGGACGACCAAATGGAAGACAAAGAAGAGGAGAGCAAGTGTGCTTACCTTGTGGTAGCTCTCTGTCCTTGTCTCGTTTGCTTCGTTCTCCTCTTAATAGCTCTTTCTATCATTCTTCTTGTCAAATTCCATTTCTTTTGCCACACTCCTCTGCATTACTTGCTCTTCAAAAAGACCTGTTGATTTCCCATTCGGGGAGTTTTTCTGGGTTGCCCGTTTCTAGTTTTCGAGGAAAGTTTTCATTTTTGAGTAATCCCAGGGCATTTGCTAGTGTTACTGGAGGTGATGCTGATTCTGGGGTTGAATCTGGCATCGAGGATGATGATAATAGTTATCAAGGTGGTGATGGTGGTGGTGATGGTGGAGGTGTTAAAGCTGAATCCTGTGCTGATCCAGATGAGGTTGATAGGGTATGCAAGGTGATTGATGAATTGTTTGCATTGGATAGGAACATGGAGGCTGTTCTTGATGAATGTGGGGTTCAGTTATCACATGATTTGGTTGTGGATGTGCTGCAACGGTTCAAGCATGCTAGGAAGCCTGCATTTCGGTTCTTTTGTTGGGCAGGGAAGAGGCCTGGGTTTGCACATGATTCCAGGACCTATAACTCCATGATGCATATTTTGGGTAAGACTAGACAATTTGAGACCATGGTAGCAATGCTTGAGGAAATGGGTGAGAAGGGGCTTTTAACAATGGAAACTTTCTCCATTGCTATCAGAGCCTTTGCTTCTGCAAAGGAAAGGAAAAAAGCTGTTGGGATCTTTGATCTGATGAAGAAGTACAAATTTAAAGTCAGTGTTGATGCTATTAATTTCTTGCTTGATAGTCTTGGTGCGGCAAAGCTTGGTAAAGAAGCACAAGTCGTTTTTGAAAAACTGAAAGATAGATTTACACACAATTTGCAAACTTACACCATACTTCTTAATGGATGGTGCAGGGTGAAAAACTTGCTGGAGGCAGGGAGGGTGTGGAATGAGATGATTGATAAGGGGTTTAAGCCAGATATTGTTGCACATAATATTATGCTTGATGGGTTGTTAAGGTGTAAGAAGAAATCCGATGCAATCAAGTTATTTGAAGTCATGAAAGCCAAAGGTCCATTGCCTAATGTTCGGAGTTATACAATTATGATACAGGACTTCTGTAAACAAAAGATGCTGAATGAAGCTATAGAATATTTTGATGAAATGATAGACCGTGGATGTGAAACTGATGCTGCCCTTTACACATGTTTGATCACTGGGTTTGGGAGGCAGAAGAAAATGGATATGGTATACGATCTACTGAAGGAAATGAGGGAAAGAGGTTGTCCACCTGATGGGAGGACCTACAATGCTTTAATAAAACTGATGGCAAGCCAACATATGCCAGATGATGCAGTGAGAATATACAAGAAAATGGTTCAAAGTGGCATCAAAACAACAATTCACACTTACAACATGATGATGAAATCCTATTTTGTGACAAAAAATTATGAAACGGGTCGTGCAGTTTGGGATGAGATGCATCATAAGGGGTGCTGTCCTGATGATAATTCCTACACTGTATTAATTGGTGGGCTTATAAGACAGGGCAGGTCTGATGAGGCATGTAGATATTTAGAGGAGATGATAGAGAAGGGGATGAAAGCTCCTCAGCTTGATTACAACAAGTTTGCTGCTGATTTTTCTAAAGCTGGGAATCCTGTCATACTTGAGGAGTTAGCTCAAAAGATGAAATTTGCTGGTAAGTTTGAAGTATCTAATGTCCTTGCTAGTTGGGCTGACATGATGAAGAAAAGTTTCAAGAGAAGAGAGCCTACAAAATCTGGTAGGCAGTTTACATGAATACCTGATTGCCTTGTAGGTGGCCTGAACCCCTTTGGTCCAAGATTATAATAGCAACAGAATTCCACTTATTATCTTGTTTGGATTCTAGCTTTTGTGTAAACTTCTTTTTTGTCTCCCCCCACCCTCCCTCTCCAAAAAATAAAATAAAATCTACTTAGGTCTTTATTTTGTACATTGATATTGGTTGAAACTTATAAACCAGTGTTGTACAATGGCATGTACCAGTTTGAATGAAAAACTCGACTGATCCTTATTGTGGAGTTTGTAACGATATTTGGTGGTGTTTTACATTTCAGCAATCAACAAAATTGACATTTCTGAATATATAAAATGTGTGGATTGCTTTACTGTAATATTGGAAAAATAACAGGTAACTATCACATGACAAACTGCTTTATATCTGGTATTTTTGTTGTAGTTTTATATTCCCATACCTAAACTTCTACTTCTTTTCAATCATAATTCTAGGCTTAATCTGCAGTTTAGCAATAGATTTGCCTTCGACAAAAAATTTGCTCGGGTTTAGAATCAGTTGCCACTGGCCATGGTCATACATTTTGCCACAATGTTGATAAAGGATTTCTACACTTTTTTAGTTACATCTAATCCATATAAAATTTATAAAAAGGATACTAACATCAATACTATATACTATGGATGGTTATCTTGTAAGTACTTTAATTGATGAGCAATCTATTGATTGTTCATATTTTAAGGGATTGTTTTTACAAATTAGCAATAAGAACATGGATGAGTCTGGATATTTTAAGGGATTGCTTTTACAAATTATTTTAAGGAATATTTGCTTAATCTTATAACTCTTGGTGACAAACAATACTCTTTTAAAAAATTAACGCATACCGAGTGGTGTAAGTTGTTAGAAACTGAGAGTATCATTGTCAGCATCTGTGCAACTAAACCAGTCGCCATTGTTAGGTATTCTTTTTGTTAAGGCAGTCATATTGCATTATATTGGACATTTGTCCATATATTACTCCATTCGTAATCAAATTCAAATAGGGGGGAGTAAAGAATAATGACAGAAGTAAGATATTCTTACTGCTAAATATTCTTACCATTAATCTAATATGACTATATATTATCGATAATATAGTAAAAGTTTTTTTTTCTTCATATATATTTTTTAAATTGTATGCTTAAAAGTGGGATTTAATAACTAAAAAATGATAATAAATTAGTAATTGAAAGATTTGGTGGTTCTTCGATATATTAACGAGACAAGAAGTACTTCTAATGTTATATCACTTGAGGGGACATTGACTAATATGCTACTTCTATGAACAATATTTATATGTACGTCAAGTTTTAATTAAATTTTGTCAAAATATCACGTCATACTCTCACTACACCACCCAGCGAGAATGAATTAGACACGTGACAACATATGATGCTGACACGTGACAAATTTTTGTTTGATCAATGTCGCTTTTGATCAGTGTCGCTCACTTGAGTTACAAAAAATCTCTAGAATATATCGGCACAGATAGATCCGATACAGAAATGTCAGAGAGCAGATGAATGACTGAAATATTTCCTATTTAGGTATGAAATAAGAATTGAAATATTTTTTAACCACATCTACTAAGATATGTGTGGTTTCTGATGGACAACACCCTATCCATATATCGTTGCACTTTAAAAGAAGTGCATCAACTTGTGGTGTATCTTTGAGTGGCTGAAAGGTCATCAATCAAATGATTGCATAACAGATGTCCTTGTGCTTGGTTACTCATAAATTTCTGATTAAGAAACATTTAGATGCTTCTGAGTTCTTCAATTTAAGTATTGGCAATTCTTTCTGGCTCCGCCAATCAGCTTGTAATGATGTAAAGGAATGTAAATAGATTATGTTAGATTACACGAGCTTATAATCTAACCTATATTATGTTAAATTTGAATTATTATAATATCAACATTAACAATATTTTTATTTCAAATTAATTAGAGTCGATGATAGATGAATTCAAATAAAGATATGAAAGGGTTGAAAAAAATAAAAAATAAATAAAATAGTAGTAATATATATATATATATATATATATATATATATATATATATAGTGAATTATTATAAATAGTCAAATAAAACATGTCTAGATTTTTAAGAAAATCTATTTAGAAAGTAGGTCATACGTTTTTTTGTATATATAAGGCCTATAAATCTACAGACCTTCCTATATCATATTATTTATATTAAATAAAATAAATAAAATTATTATTTTAATAATTTTGAATAATAAAAATATTATTTTAGTTATTTTTTAATTATTGAATGTTTAATAAGCTTAATCAGACTAACAGTTAGGCCAATTTTTTATTTTTAAAATAAAAGTCAAGTCAAATTTGTAATCCGAGACTATATTTGTAATCTAAATTTTTTTACACAGACCTCACTTATTTATATCAAAAGTATAATCTAACGTCATATATTTACACCCCCATTTATGCATATGCTATTATCCCGATCTTACAAAAGTTATACATTTAATAGTTTTTGGCTTCCTTACATTTAAATTCTCTGGAACACAGTTACATATTACTGGAAAAAAATGAATATAGGCCAATATATATATATATATATATATATATATATATATATATAATAATATATATATATAATAAAAAATTTATTAGATAATATTTATTAATTAACTATTAATTTCAATAAATTATATACAAATAATTACAATTTATTGGGTCACATTATATATTTTCAGAAATACATTTTTAATCAAATCTATTATCGAAAATACATAATTATGTTTGTAAGATTTATTAAAAAAAATTTGTAAATATAAATTTTCCTCGGTATATATATTACCACAGTTATCCTACTATTTTTTTTTTAAAAGACACAGTTATACTACTATAAATTCTTAAAAGAATTAATTATTCAGACCTGACATGGACCTACTGCAACAGACATTGTCTCAGACGAACTGATTGAGCTAACAGATCTGAAAAGCTGAGTGACATTCCCTTCCCTTTAGTCTAAAATTACAATTTACAAGTAAATGGAACGGGGAATGTGGAGTTCTACCAGATTTCAGAAGGAAAAAGGGTTAAAGATATAGAAAAGTAGGAAATGAATATAGCCAAAAAAAAATTAAATAAAATTTCAAAGATATAAGCAAAATACTTATGTTATACAGAAACAACTTGAACCATGAACTTCATCATCTGACGGTGGAAGCAACAGTGTGAGCCCACCATCTGAGACTATCTTTCATGTCAATTTCATTGTTAAGAGCTGGAATTTTCCAATTCATAAGCGGGTTTTCTTTCTTTCTTCTTTCCCTTTCCTTCCATGCTTCAGAAAGGTAAGGTCTTGGAACTGCTGGCTCATCATTAGAATCTTCTTCTTGTTCTTCATCATCATTCTTCCCCAACCTTTGCAACCCAGGAATTATTGAAGCCAAGCTTGAGTCTTTATCTTCCTCTGAGAAAACAAAACCCAGATCCATGAACCCTTTTAGCTCCTCAAACTCAAGGTCTGACAAACTCTTGCTTTCCCTTTTTCTCCTTTCCCGGGTTGTGATGTTCTTCTTAGGTAACAACACTTCAAGTTGCACCTGTGCTTGCTTTTCAGCTTCTGTTTCTGTGACTTCTTTTCCTGAGAGGACGGTTTGGAGCTTTGGTGAGAAAAAGACAGAGTCTGGGGAAAGAGAATCATGCTTGAAGCATGTCATGGAGCTCAACTGGTCGCTCATGGACCTTGTATGACTGGTTTGGATGCTCAAAAGCACAGGTTCTGATTGTCCTTCTTCAATTTTATGATCTGGGTTTTCATGAGAACTTGTTGATGTTAAAGAACTTGAGTGTTCCTTCAAATTTTGAAGGCCAAACCAGCAAGAATCAAAGAGCTTCAAGACTGCCTCTGCTTCCATCAATGCTGGATTTTGAAAAATCAGCTGAGAATTTTGAATTGTATAAGCAGAATTAGTAAATTGTCCAAGGCATGGTAGATAAGATATATTAATACACTTGATGACTATATTGCCCTTCGTGAACCCTGAAATTACAAGAAGAATTCAACCAATCATTTACACGTTTTGGATTTGAGACATTTTCTTTGTTAATGTATCAATATCGTAGTGTGCTGTTTGTATATTCCGAGTGAAAAAGACATTGCTTTTTCCATGTAAATGTTAAGTATTTAGAATGGGGGTGGCTTTAAGAAGAGGCAAAAGCAATGGTTGGGTGTGGCAAAACAGAATTATGAATGCTACTAGATAAAGCCAGATATGAGGTTGGCGACTAGTTGATGTCAATTACTATTGCCAATCTTTTTCTGTTCTCTTAGATGTTGACATTTCTTGGTCGCATCTCTTTCTTGTTGGTTTGGCGATTGCACCAAAGCTTTCATGTGGAAACTAATTGCCCTAGCAGTAGCAATAGCAATTATTGATAGTTGCTTCCAAACTACACAAAATCGAAAGCCTATGTTACTGTGGTCGGCATCAGCTGCAATTTTTCATGCCAAGTTTCTTGCGATGCTAGAGACTTTAGAGTTATAGATATAAAACTCTTCAATGAAAGGTATCAATTACCACTCTTTAATGGAATGAATAAACTTAAGCGCAGAAAAGTTTACCACTCTTACAACCAGAAAAATTTACCATTCTTACAAATAATTTAATCGCCGTTGATTTTCGTCAATCTAACGGTTATAATTTATTGAAAATTAATAATATTTATTGAATCACACTTATTAATTAATTATTAATTCTCAATAAATTATAACCGTTAGATTGATAAAAATTAAATTGATTGTAAGAGTGATAAACTTTTTTGGAGGTAAATATATCTATCCTCTTTTTTTATATATGGTATAGGTTTTGCAGTTCGGTTGTTGCTGTAAAAAAAACTTCTGCAATAATACATAGAAAAGTCAGGATATCTCTACAAATTTTGTTATTTTATTTTATTTTTAAAAAATGAGTGATTCCCATGTTTTATATGTCTGATGAAAAAAAAATCATCTACACTAACCCATAAAAAAACAGACCCAATTAAAAATATGAACTTCACGGTAGTTATGAATTGTTATTAAAATAAGTTTCACGTGATTAATGTAAGCACATGCGCGCAGCTACCAAATTATATTATTGCTGTTAGTTACATCGTGTGTAAACTAGACAATAACAATAACAGCAACACCCTTCTTTTTATAATTCCCTATTCTCTTTTTCTCTGAGATTTCTTTTATCGTTTCCCACCTTTTTCTCTCTACCTATTACATGTATGTGTATAATTTACTTGTATACTACTTGAGTTTATGATTTGTTTCAACTACACAATTGTTTATATTTGAGTTTAATTTGTCAAATTAAATTTTTTTCTCTCTTCCAAACTCAGTATAAATACAAAATTTTAAAGGATTACATACATATTTAGTAAATATTTGAAAGCAAGCATTAGGTGTGGGCTGGTAATAATATTTGTGAATATATCATAATTCAGAAACAGAGTGGCACGTGTTCTCCGGCTTCTGTTCAGGAAGGCATTTTAGTAAATGAATATTTGGCAGCAGAATAATCAAAAGAATCTAATTCGTTGCTTGGACTGGCATATTCAATCATTCAATGTTGTTGAACGAAGAAATAGGAAATACTGATAAGACTAATTCCGCACGTGCAACTCATGCTGCCCTCACAACGCGGTACCGTTGAATCTTGATATTTGCCTGTGCCGCTGCAAATTGCCAATTTATTAAAGAAAGTGAGTTTGTTTCATTCTCTCCATTTCTTTATGATGTTAACTTGCATTAGAAAAACAAAAAAATGGTTCCCCTATCACATTTTCACTCGCCTTCAGAAGTCCACGCTTTATTTATTTTTCGTATTATTATATTCCCCATTGACATGCTGAATGAGCCCAACGTTGATCAGTCCAGTCACTCTATAAGCTCTTCTTCTGTTGTAATTTTACTATGTACTGTAATTAAGAGAATTTTGAATGGCAAGCGAAAGAGGAGAGAGCTCATGAGTTAAAAACAATAGCTAACGAGAAGCAGGGTGAAGCTAATTAAGTGAGAGTAACTGCTTGTGGATCTTATGTAATATAAATTATCAACGTAATATATCAACACATGATAAAATAATTGAGTTTCTACATGGTGTAAATATTCTTTTACTTATCATTTCCTTTGATTATGTTCAATGGTGTTTTACAATTTAAATAGAACTTTTACTATTTTGTTCATATAAAAGAAGTTAATTCAAACGTACACATATATAAATGTAAGAAAATGTATCCTCTCGTATTAAAAAAAAAATATGATATGATTATGTGGAAAAATCATAATCATATATAAAGATAAATCAATGATTATGATTTAGTAATTATCTATCTTAATATTTTCTCTCTCCCCTTCTTTATCATTATTGATATATTTTTGTATAGTTATAATTGCTCATATCACCATGTTATGTCCTTTTCAACGTGAAAAAATCCTCTCTATGATGTTTAGTGTTGACTGTTGAGGATGACTCTTAATTTGTTTCAAGATGATGCGCACTGTGTGCTCATAGAGATTTGGTATTATTTTGAGTCGCAGGTTATTTTATAATTTTTATTTATTTATTAATTTAGATTTGGACACATAAATAATTGTTACATTTTATGATTTTCTTAATCTATTTATATTTTCTTATAATGCATATTGTGAGGAGAATACAGTGACACTCTGACAGACTTATCAAATATAGCCCTACATTAGGGAGAAGCAGGTAGATTATGTTTCCTACTTTTCTTCCTTTCTTTTTTTTATTTGTGATTGTGTGTAATTGAAACGGTCTCATGCATGGATTGGTATTATTCCTTTCCTTGACTATCAAACCTGCTTAATAATCATCCTTTTCAAAGATTTACAGGCGAATAATTTGTGTAAAAAAATCTTTTGATCAATGAATATCTGATAATAATATTCTGAATAGATATTTGCCGATTTACCTATCTATATTACCATTTTTCTCTTTGAAAAATTACTTAAATTTTCAACATGCTGATTTTTAGGGTGTTTTGATTTAGATTGAATTGGTTTTGAAATAAAAATCATCTGATTCAATTCTTTCGGTTTGATCATTTAATTATCTATTCATTTTAAATCCAATCCAATATTATTTGGCTTGAATAGGATCGGTTTTTGATTTTTCAAAAAGCCTATAATTTCACTCATATAAATCACTAGCTATATTAAAATAAAGTTATACAAAATTACAAACTACTGAAAAATTCAAGTCTTCAAACTAAAATAACTCTTAAAACTCATGAAGAATTAAAATAGATTAATAAATAATAAAAAATTACAACAAGATAGTTTGCTATCAATAATATTCAAAATTGATAAAAACTGATCCAATCAAATTGAAATATGTGATTTGTTTTATTTTTTTATTTTTGGTTAATTCGGACATTGATATTTTGATTTGATCATCGCGATTTGATTTTCTTTATGAACACTCTATTACTTTTAGCATATTTTTTTTTGAATACAGCTAATTTTAACATTGATTTCATGATGCCGTCCACATCTGTGATATTAGTGGATAGCTAATTTTTGCGGGTTGAAATGAATACATATATTAAAATCCTCAATTTCTTGAACCATGTACATTCATTTGTGTGGTCGTAGTAGTTCGGCAATTAATTCAAAGAGAGATGTGAACTCAATGATGATGTTGATACGTCTCTATTAAAGGAGTTCACACGTGGAATGATTAATAAAGGAGTTTTATAAGATACTAGTGAATTACTGGTGCGATGTCCAGGAGAAAGAGAACAAAATATTTGTCTTCCGTCATGGTTGGTTAATCACACTGCAAACCTTATACTTACAAAAACCTGTATTGTTATCTTGTTCTATGTTTCAGGTGGAAAAAACTACAGCATTAACGCAGAACTTTGCAAAAATCTGCCATCCAGAGTGATTAATATTATGCAAATCAAATATAGTTCTCTACTCGATGAGTTATGAAAAAAATAAATACGCCATAGTAGGCTATGTTAAAATGAGGATGACTAAAAAAAAAAAATGCATACAACTTATTGCTAACTATAACAGTAACTAATAAAATCAAGGTAACAAATAGACCAAGCAAATATGAAATTAAAAGACCAGTTTGTACCTATAATAAGAAAACGCTATTAATTCAGTGTCATTTTTTAGCAATTATTGGAGGGATGAGTTCAACACATACCAAACATGTGATTTCCTATGTTTATGCATTACTAGGGACATCCTCTTCTACCATCATATTTATGCCTACGATACAAAATGCAAATGCTTATTAAATAAAATCACGCTAATATGTTAACACCCAGAAGTAATAGCTCAGCAAAAAAAATGGGTTATTTTTTTTTAGAAACCAAAAAACATTGTTTGAAAGGGATTTGAAAGAAAATTAATCAAATGGTCATGTATGAGTCCTATTTTTTACTTACATTGGAACAAATGTGTCTAAACAGCATCAAATCAATACACATGCTAAAAACTTGTAACAATATAAAGAACCCACGATGATAAATTTTTAAAAAACAACAACATACATTCGGGTCCACCAAAGACTTAAAGAATGAGGTGACAATAACATCGCTGCTTCAAACACTTGAAACTTGATATCTTGACTCATTATATGATTCTAAATTGTTTTTTTTTTACGTTTTACCTTAAATAACATGGATTTTTCATTAAGAATGTTAAGTTTTTTTGGATAATGTTCCAAATTAGCACCCTAGAAAAAAAACTCCTTAAAAATTAAGTATAACTCGTGCAATGCACGAGAAAAAAAAAATTTGTTTGTCTGTCTAGTAAAAGTTAATGAAAATCATAAAAATGTATCTCTGCATTTTATTTAAAGCAATATTGTTAGCTACCTAACTCCAACTTTTTGAACATATAGAGTTGGCAAATTTTTGAGTT